TAATTCTGTCTTCAGTATGGAATTTGGATAGTGTGTAGTAAATAAGTTATAGAGCAATATATTGACTGGTGATGATAAAAATATATTATGAATAGGTAGCTAGTCTGTAAGCACTGTCCATCTTGAGCACTGACTAAGACCTGGGCCTGTGGAAAGTAGCAGCAAGTGATAATGTAAATGAAGACGACAACATGATGCATAAACACAGGGGCTGAATTAAGGTTGCATTTGTAACTTTCTTTAATTCTGGTATTTTTTAGACCATTACTTTCCACTCTTACTATTATTTAACAGTTTTTGTATATGATGGGTGGGTAAGCAGGTAGGTAGGTGGAGGGGGAGGAGTTTGAATGAAATGTTTCACATCAATGCTTGGCAATGCTATTTCGCAAAAACTAGAGAGACTTTGCTTCACAAATGTGAGTCCTTTATACCTATGGATGAAAGAGTGCTATCAAGGTGAAAAAAAATCTATCACTGAGAAACAACACTGATTTACTTTGAATACTAATGACAATATGAAGCAGCATTTCTGATTGCTTTTATTAAAGGCAAAAAATACTTTGTATTAAAATCTTTCAGTTTTAACATGGAAGACATGAATAATTGTTCTTTTCTTTTTTGATTTGTTTTAAGTGAAGTATAATCTTTAAATTCTTTCTGTGAGCACTATTAATGATTATATTCAATTTAATTAAGTTCTTGTTAATTTTATATGTACATTTAGGTCAAAATCCTCTCTACCACTACTCAAGTTTTCTGTGATAGATAACGGGGCAGGGAGCAAGACAATTGTTAAGTTCTGCCCAGTCTCTGCCAAACTCCCTTAAGCAGTTCTACAATTCCCAACTCTCTCACCTTTGTGAAGCAGACCTGCACCAGTTTCAACATAAGAAGGCCCTTTTTGCACTTGGGGTGGAGGTCTGAATTTGCATCTTAAAGCAAATGCTGCCTATAAGTGAAAAGGAAATAAAAAGATGAAAATTTAAATAAATGGAGCAGTAAATCCTCAGCATAGGCCTTTAATAATTCTCTTTTTAGAAGAGTTTCTCTGTGATTAAAAAAGGTCATCATTAATGCACAGAGAATCCATATTAACAAAAGACTTGAAGATGTCTCCATATAATTATTGGACCTATGATCATTTGATCATTCTAATGAGAAGTTAAGCTAAAAAGTAAATTTTCTAAGACCTGGAAAAAGAAAAATTCAGAAGCAGCACCAAATTAAAATGGTCAGTTCTTTCTCCATTAAATGCAACATTTAATGTTTGTTTATATTTTGTACTGTCATATTCTGAGAAACAGAATAGTTATTTTAAGATAGTCTAGTCTTTCCTTACTCTCCATTCTAAATCCAAAGTCATCACACCAGAGATTATCTATAACTACTGAGTACATGCGTGTGTGCGCACACACACACACACCCCCACACACAAGAGTATATATAGTCCAACGGAAATATTTTCTAGCAACAGATTACTTAGCTGAATTTTTAATTTCAAGACTAAAATAATTTCTTCTCTATTTCTAGATACGTAAACTCCGTAATTTAATTTCTCTTACCTAAGCAATTATTGATATTTCACCAAAATGTTTTGGTGTCTGGAATGGCACTTATGAAATAAATTTTAATATAAAAAGAATATTAGTTTTGTATTACTACATATGTTTGGCACATATAAAAGCAATGTGTTTAACAGCTTACAAGACTGAAATCTGCAATAGAACACCTTTATTTCAATCCATAGCTCAAACCATTTCATGATTTAATTAGCATCTCTTTCACCTATTACTCCTCCAAGTGAGTATTCAGAGGGCCCAATCAGAGTCAAGGCTGCATTGTCCTAATCAAACAAACACAATACAGTCCCAAAGAAATTACAATCTAAAGCCTTGATCCTGCAGTTAGATACATATACAGGCATTGTGCCCAGAGTGCCAATGAAGTCAACGGAGTGCAAGGGTCACTTTATATGTCCAAATGCAGGATTGAGGCCTAAAAGTGATTGCACTGGATTGAGTTCTGTTTTATTTCCACAATTAAGAGAAGCATGTTGACATTTTAACATTTTTTAAATGAACAAAGATATACCTTCATCCTAAAATCCAGGTTATTTATTTTTTAAAAAAAGGCAACTTCAGGAAATACATCTTTGCCTGAATCCTTGTACCAATTTTATGGAAATGACATTGTGTACAAAACCAACACAAACAGAAAGAACAAAAATTACTATACAGGGAAAATAAACTACAACATACACAAAGTGCTGTTAAATGCACAAAATAAACTGAAAAATGTTTTTCTCCCTATTCTCTTTCAGTTACAAGAGACATCACATTACTTTAACACTAATAAAAATAACTTCTATTTTTTAAATGTTATGCTGTTAAAATACATGTAAGTAAACTATTGTTTCTGTTTTTTAAGAAGTTTTCTTTATGGACACACAACTGCTCTGACAAATGGAGGACCAGCATAATTTCTTATGCTTGAGGAAAAACAGAAATGAAAATTAAATACCACTTCTTTTGTACAATTTTAAGATTTTCAAAATGAAATTTTAAACTAAAACTAAAGTTCTCTCAGTAAAGTGTGTACCATAAGTACTTTTAATTTATAGATATCCAAATATTTGAGTTTAAGAAAGTTTATTGATGACCCTACAAATTCTGAATTAACCACATTGCATATCCCCTAGGGGAAAAAAACAGAATAAAAAAACCCACAAATACATAGTCTATAACTCCCATGTTTGTTTATAAACATGTTTTTCATAAATATGAACTTTATCCAGAAAAATGTATGTTTGGGGATTTTAAAAACAAGCAGTAAACAGTGTCAGAAGAGATACTGACAGGAACTATATAAACAGCTCAATTTCTACTCATATCATGCATGCTTAAAGTCAATTGCCTTATTTAATTTAAATTACTAAAATCAAAGTGCCTAAATCAAACAAGTTCATTAACATTCATCTACCCAAAACTAATTTTTACTTGTTCCAAAGACTTGTTTTTTAAAAATGATGAGAGAAACCCTAATGCAAATGTCGCTTCCTGATGATGAAAATTACTCAAGTACAACAACAGTTTTTGCACAGTCCTTTCTTTCCTGTAAACTAGAACTTCGTTCAGCCTCCACACACCCAACGGCCCAAAAGCAAACAGCAATTCAGTTACACACAGAGACAGGACAATTAGAGACAACTTGCAGTTCTCTGTAATACATAAAGTTTAAAAATAAAAGCTGCTTTATTAAAGTATAAATGGTTCCTCTCCACGCATGTAGGCCTGAGGCCCTGTTGCAAACAGTGTCTCACAGGACCAGGCAGCACAAAGACAGGAATGGGAGATTAGTGGGAGGGAGGGAGGCCGGGATTGGGGCTCAGCAGGATCTTCAGGCTTTTTAAAATTCAAACTGCTCCCTGACCAATACAAATCACGGACACGCTACTGACTACTACATGGATTTACAGCATTAAAAACACGCCTTCTATGTGACAGCTATATTAACTTCAATCTTTTAACCATGTATAGGACACTGCAAGAGGCAAGATAGCAAGGTTGAGGAGGAAGACTCTGAACACAAAACAGAAAGTTACTTTTAAAGACACATTAACCATTTAATGTAACAAGACATCTCTCTGAATAAGAAGAAAACCTACTACAAAATAGTGAAAGTTTATTGTGCAATATTGCTACATTTTAGCCACTTTAACATTTCCTTTCAATATTGAATATGAAACTTAGTATCAAAACTGCCCGACGAAAGCAAATTTTCACTAATGATGAAGATTTATTGGAAGTATTCACTGATTATCAGCCACTACTTTAAATTTACCACATTTTCCCAACATTCTCAACCCCCACTACACATTAATCCAAGGTTTACTTTAATATAAATCAGCTACCATTTACTTTTAAAGATCTGACACGTATCAAAAGTCATTTACAGACACTTTTGACCTGTTAAGATGACACCTAACTACACAAACAGCATGGACACAAACAGCCAATAACAATCCTGGGACCTCAAAATGTTCTGACCTGACAAGAAAGGATGACTCTTAACTTAAGTCCCATATTCTTAGGGTAAGATCTCAGCTTTACTTTGATCCCTGAAATGCCATATGTTTATAACTCTTATACACGACCTCTGCCTATTTTTTCCAGTTATTAGAAAGCATAAAACACGATTTTTCTATAATTAATTACTGGTTAAATATACATAGTATCTATGTTTATGCACTACATTGAAAACACACACTATACTCCACGTATACTTCCTCGGGTCTGCAGGTGTTCATGGTGTGTATATCGTTCAACAAGGGCTAGTATTCTATAAATAAAAGTAGTGATTATAGCGCGAGTCAATTACTATATATTTGGGATTTCAATACTTTAAACTGTACAAACCCGTATGTATTAACTTTTCAGCGTTCAAACTGGAGTTTGTTTAAGGAGACTTAGTGGTGAGGATAATGGGTATATTTGTTTCTAGCTATAATGGGTATATTTGTTTCTTCCTGCTTCTCACACTGCTCTCTCCCGGTCCAGAGAACTCTCTGGGCTGGTTGCGTTCGGACCTCCCCTCTCGCCTGCCCTAGTGAAGTTGTAAATATGGCAAGGGATCATTGCACATTTGCTGTTAATTGTATTGTTTCCTCCTGCTGCTGCTCTCCGGGTTGAGGCCTGTCACTGAGAAGCCGCTTCGCCTCTCTAATCCCCGAGCTAGAGTAAAGGCGCTGGCCGGCGGGCCTGCGCCCTCCACCGGGCCTGAGCCTTCCGGCAGCCCGGGAAGAGCCAATCTCCTCCACCAAACCCGACAGAGGAAGGGGGTTGTGCAAGGAACACCTCCGGCTGCCCCTCACTCTCCCTCTACCCGGGTAACAGCTAATCCCCTCTGCTCCCGACAGAGCTGGGCCGCCTGCGCTGGGAGGCCCGGCCCGCTGCTGGAGAGGGCAGGGAGGGGAAGGGGAGACAAGGAGGGGAAATTACCTGAGCAAATCGGCGTCTGAATCCAACGAGAACCCGAGAGAGGGGGAGAGGAATCCGCCCCCCTCCCTCCTCAGAGGAGCCGCCGCCGCTGTTGGGCCGCCGCCGCCGCGGAGCAGGAGGAGGAGGGGAGATAATATAACAACAATAATCCGGGCCGGGAGGGGGGCTGGCTCCTCTTCCGTCTCCTCCTCAGTGCAGCGAACATGTAGAGCCGGAGGGTGAGCGGCCGAGACAAATCCCTTCCCCCTGAGCCTGCTTCACAACATCAACACGGGCCGGGCAGAACCGGTTCCGAGACACACATCGACCCGGAGGGCCACCGTCTCTCCCTCCGTGCCTATGAGTGTATGCGGGCGGGGGGGGGGGGGGGTACGGGCGGGGGGGGCAGGCGGGGGAAGGATCCTGTGTGTGTCTCTCTCCCTCTCAGAACAAAATGCCGACCGGAAGTGCAGCTGCAGGAATGACTCCCTCCACCGGCGCCAAACACCCAACAGCCTCCCCCTTCCCGCTGCCGCTTGCCTCCTCCTCGTTCGCTCAGCCAGCCCTGCTTCCGCCACCGCCACTACTGCTCTGCTCCCCACCCTGCAACGCACAGCAGCAGCTGGAGCTGTTCCTCTCCCTCACCTCTCGGCTGCCACAGCTGATGTCCTTCGTCTGTCTCTCTGCCTTCTCCACTCTGCCTCTGAGTTTCTCTTTCTTTTCCCCTTTTCATCTAGATGAATGCAACTGGAGTTTGCACTTAGGCCTGCGCCAAGCAAAAAGGAACCTGCGATCTGTGAAGAGGGGGCCATTTGAAAGAAGATTGTCTTTTAATGGTGAAGAGAAGGGAGACTTTACATGACTGCAAAATCCTTCCTCGTAGGAGAGGCTTCAGAAGGTTCATTAAAATGAATCCCGAAAAAAGGCAATCTTTCTCGCTCGAATGACGGCGATTTGGCAGACCTTGAACGCTTGCAGGATTTTATTTTATTGTTGTTCTTGTCCATATGTGTGTTAAGATGCTATGGTAGCAGGATTTAAAACAATCCGTGCTGAAAATGTTGCTGTATCGAGTGATTTCCAGATGAGTATGGTAACCGAATAATTGATTGTTTTTACACAGCGTTCTTGAGCAAGTGCAGGGGGAGAGACTGCTATTGAAGTGAAGGCGCTTTGCTTGGACATTGAAATGTTTGTTACAAGATTTTACTAGGCTTATTATGTGTCATAAAGGAGTCTTTGGCGATGGCAACAGCCCTAGTTTGAAAGGTTTTTTTTTTTAAATTTTCCATTCAGGTATTGTTTGTGATCGTACCACATGATAAAACGAAGTGTCGTTCATTTTGGCTAGGTTAACAGCTTAGCCTGCCTCCTTTTTTACTCACTGTTGAAGTCCTGCAGTCCTTACTCAGACAAGACTCGGATTATGTCATTGAAGTCTTGTTTGAGTAAGGACTGTCGGGTTAGACCATACAGTTGGACAGTAAGTATTTGTAAATGTGGAGTGCGCCCTTTTGGTTCTGGATGTACGAGTTTACCTCTTGGAGAAATTACTTCCAGATCATTATATTGCTGTTACATACAATTCATCTGGACTCTCTCTGACCTCTATGGAATAATTGCTGAAATAATACCAGGTATGTCTCCACTATCGTTTTTTAAACGTGGCTGTACTTCTCAAATTGAAAACTATTTCATAGTGTCAGAGTGGAATATAATGCTTTTTAAATGTACATATTTTGGGTGAAGAAAAAAGGGGGGATATTGTAATGTAGTATTGAGGATACTAATTTCATACAGTTTATATAAAGGGTCAAAGACTGCTTAAACAACACTTTTGTTTGAAATTTTGTTACCAATACTTGTTACAAATAACCATTAAGGCCCTGATTCTGATTCTGCAAATGCTTAGGCATCACATGCAAAATCTGGGCTTTCAGTTATTCCTCCTCTTTTTGTAGATTGTTCACAGAGTACTAAGAAGGGAAGGGGTTAAAGTGACCAGAAAATGTGATTGTAAAAACACAAACCTTGGCAGGGCCAGGTGTATTATCTACCTGTAACTTATCATTATTATTTAACTAGATTCAAGTTTTTGTTCTCTAGGAAATTGTATTAATATACCCATACAATAAAATATCTTAAAATCAATTAGTAGATTATAAGGACAGAAGGGACAATTGGATAGTAAAATATTTCTCTGTGAAATGTGGCTATACACAAATGTGTTAGTAATAACATACATTAATCTATGAATTTCAGTCAGAATAATTGATTAAGAGTGATAGCACCCCTTTTGTCTTATCAACCCTATTTAATTAAATTAGGCAGTAATACTTGGGGGAAACGTCATTATTGCATTAGCTCTGTATCAGAAAAAAATCAACTTATTAGAAGCAATGTTTGTTTTGGAAACTATTGTTACAATATGGTAGATTCAGAGTTACTGTAAAATTAAGGCCTTAAGTAAAAACAATATATATTTTTATCTAGTTATTATAAAGTAAGATCCTGATCCTGCAGTCCCATCTACACAATTATATATCTGCGCTCCATTGTCTTTATTGGACTCCACCTCCAACCATAAGTATCTGGCCATATATGTCTACAGAACAATTTATTATACATAGTCATATGATTGATGTCCGGGAGGAAGAGAGATTATGGTGTCATGAATAGAGCCCTGGTTGCAGATATCCACGGATAGAAATCCGTATCCGCCGATCTGCAGGGCTCGACTCCCAGAAGATGCTGCAGCCAAAGGAGAGGAACTTAATGCCATCACTTCCAGGACCAGTGAACAATGTGGCTGGAAATGGTACAGCCACATGTTCAGGAGGCGCTGCCAGTGTGGGGCGCTGGCTTCTGGGAGAGGTGGCACCACATTCCCCTCCTTTAGCTGCAGTGACTTCTGGAAGTAGAGCCCTGCAAATCAGTAGCTATTGATTTCTATCCACAGATATCCACATCCCTGGGCAGAAATTTGTATTCACACAGGTCTCTAGTCCTGAAAAATGTTACAACAAAAGTGAATTGCAGGTGATAACTCTAAAAGCTTTAGGCCTCATCCTGCTTCCTTTTCAGTCCATGAGAGGCAGCTGAGGCTTTCTTTTCCTCTAAATGACAAACGTATGGCCATCATCACAGTAAATCTAAGATAGTTACCCACTCTAAATGTGCACACTTTTTATTTTCTTATTATTTGTTAAAATTAATAAAATAAGTATGCATTATAATTTTTCCATGTGTTTTTACAGGATGTGGTGTAAACTATCCATTCAAGTTTTCTCTCATTTTAAGTTCTGCATTGTGCACTCTCATAGTGGATAAAGCACTGGAGAGAGACTCAGGAGACCTGGATTCTATTCCTGGCTCTACCACTGGCCTTCTGGGTGACGTTGGGCAACTCACTTTATCTGAGCTTCCCCCTTCTGTAAAAGGAGAATAATGATACTGACCTCCTTTGTAAAACACTTTGAGATGTACAAATAAAAAGTGATATATAAGAGGTTTTTATTATTACTGTTGTTTCTATTAATGTTTAGTCCTCCATGTGTAATATGTATTTCTGGACATATTTTTTTAAGGAAGATCTTGGACGTATCTGCATAAATAGAAAGTCCTCACAACATAGTTATATTTTTAAATAAATAAATTTGACTTGCTGGCAATTAAGAAAAATGTGCACAATTTTGGGAATTCATTGTATATATGTCTTGTGAGAGAATGCAGTGGAGCTCAACTAGCATTCTAAATTTATCAAGTTATTCAGGATTCTGGTATGAAGGCTGAATTACAGTAGTGAGTAGGAGGAAGGCAATGATGAATTTTGTCTGCCAAGAATGTAAATATAAAGTAATGCTTATTGAATTGACTTATGCACAGGCACAAATAATTGTACCATATAATTAATTCATTAGGGAATATTCATCTTAAGAAGTAAATAATCTTAAAGTCAGGTGAAGCTTTCAGTGATGCAGATTTAAAAAAAAACCAACCAAGGTAGCCTGCAGCATGGGGAATAAGATATGTGTACAGTTAACTATGTTATGATTTTCAGGTTTACAATTTGGCATCAACCATTTATTTTCTGATAGGAATTGAGTGCAAAATTCTATATCCCATTTTAAGTTACCTTATACTAGTTCCTTACTATAATCAAGCAACAGGAAATTTAGATAAAATAACACAAAGATTCATTTTCTTTTTCTTGCAAAATAATTACAAAATCTTTTTTTCAGTCCAGAAGCTCTAACACTCATTTTAGTAATTTGCATTAATACAACCGTATTAAGATTTTTTTTATGTTAAATGTTCAAGCCATGTATAATTATAGAAAGCCAAATTCTGCTCTCCTGTAG